GCCAAGGAACTGTTAGCAGTGAGTGAGAGTTAATGGATCAATCTGCTGTCTCTTGTCAGTGCTTTTACTGTTGACTTCTGGAATGTGTTTGATGAAAAGAAAGCAACTTCTTGAGACAGAAGATACAGATGTAGCATGTTAAGGTTGGGACCTACATGAACAATAAAGCAATGTTATCAGTGTTTCGCTTCCCCAGTGCTGCTTGCCAAAACTGACAAAGGAATAGCAGCAAAGCAGTTCTTTTTTTAACTTAACCATAACTGCACATTAACCATTTGCTCTGATTCTTTGGGGGGGACACAGTTGTAGCGGTGTTAGAAGTGAAAGATGGCAGATACATAAACGTGAGCATGCTGCACAGCACCCTGCTGCCTTTCTGTGGCTGGTGGAAGCTGCTTTGCAAAAAGCTGAATTAAAATGGAATTTGAGGGATCATTCACTCAAACCAAGCCTGCTGGCTCGGGGTGCTTTATGTGCTGCCCACCAGCACAGTGCCTGGTTACCATGTGAATTTCATGGGATGCACTCATTCTTGGACTCTTCATTAGGGACTGTAGTGACAGGACAAGGGGTAATGGGTTAAAACTTAAACAGGGGAAGTTTAGATTGGATATAAGGAAGAAATTCTTTACTGTAAGGGTGGTGAGGCACTGGAATGGGTTGTCCAGGGAAGCTGTGAATCCCCGGCGGTGTTCAAGGCCAGGTTGGACAGAGACTTGGGTGACATGGTTTAGTGTGAGGTGTCCCTGCACATGGCAGGGGGTTGTAACTGAATGATCTTAAGGTCCTTTCCAACCCAAACCATTCTGTGATTCTATGATTCTCCCTGTATCCCAACAAGGCAAGCTGCTACCCAGACTGCAGCATCATTTTGAGGCACGTGGGCTGAAGCCACGTGGCAGAGCACAGTTCTGTATGGAGATACCCATGCTAGCTGGGAATGCTGTGGTGAGAGCTCTTCACAACCAGATTATATTCCACTCTTGGCTGAAGAGTAGACCAGCACCGGGATATTGCTCTTCCACTGGAGCCAGGCTGTTAAGAGTTACTCTGAGGTGCCCACTTGGTACTATGGATACCCTTGTGCTGTGTAGACATAACCATAGAGGCTAAAACTCCATCGAGGTATTTAGGCTTTTAACTCTCACTGAAATGAACAGGAGTTAAAAGCCTAAATACCTTTGGGGATTTGGGCCTAAGTGGCTTACAGAAAGCCTGTGGCACAGCAGAGACTCAGGTATTTTGACTCAGAGGCTAGTGCCTCCGATCTGAAATCATTCTTCCTCCCTACATCTGGTAGCAGTTTGCATTCACATTTCCCAGCTCGGGCCATCAAAAATATGCCCATGCTTAGGACAGGAGGTGAAGAATAATTTAGGTAATTGAAACTACAGCAGGAATGTGGTTCTGTCAGAGGGCTGTTGCCTGACCTGGAATTTAACCAGACAAGTAGGGATTGGGGAAACAGCACGCCAGCTCTCGCCTTTCAGGTGCACTGAAGGCAGTGAGTTTCTCTGCTACAAGGGGGATAAATAGTTGAGCTTATGTGTCTGCTGAAAAGGAGCCCATATTGCTAAGAATGAAAGCAGGAGCCTTGCCAAACACTTGCCTTGTTATCCTCATGACTGTTTATCGGTTATAACCAGAGCTGAGCCAATAATTCTTAATGGGTAATTCATCTGATGCATATCTCCCCCTTCCACTGTGTTTGAATGGTGGATGAACCAGCCATTTCTTACAAATATTTATTTACTAGTCACAATTATTTGTTTAATCCTGTGAATAATTCCTGGCTTGTGGAATGTTTTCAGGCAGTAGCTGATGCCCAGGCTCTTTTCATTGGGCAGAGGAGTAAATGTCACCTTTTTCTGATTACGCCAGTGTTAACTGAGGATAACTTGAAGTCAAAAGGCTGGATCCTCCACTGATGTCATTTGGCTTAGCTCCATGTATTTGCAGTCGATTTCAAACGGCCAGTGTTAATTCACACCAACTTACTCGATGGTCCTGAAAAGAAGGATTGTAAGTAGGAAGAATGACTCTCACACCATATTGTCCCAGGACTGGCTAAGTGTACTGCATTTACAGCCACCTCTCTTCATTAAAATCATCCTAGGTTTCGATTCACAAGTTACCTTCAAAAACATCCTCCAGTATTGATATCTGAGTTGCTTTTCAATGAGTAGCTTTGCAGTAAATTGTGCTTGTGTGATTGTACACACAAAGTGCCAAGTTTTGCAGAGACGGTCCAGGTTCAGCTGTAGTTGTAGGGCAGGGGGGAAACTGCTTCGAGGACAAATGTGTGGCTTGTGTTGAGGTGAACCTGAAAAACTTCCTTGTTCAGCGTGCAGGACTTTTCAGTTCCAGTCTTACCATTACAAAATCTTCCCTTATATAAGTCTCACTGACGTCAGTGCAGCTTTGCCACTTGTATTTGCCTTATCAGATTTCCAGTCCTTAAAGCTATTTTAGAAGACGTTTTTAACAGCACTCTCTGTGGTGCCCAGCTAATGATGGGAAAAAGTAGAGCAGGGGATTGTGTTGGATTGTGTCTCTGCGATTCTTGCATCTGTGGTCTCTAAGGGTTCTAAGTCAGAAGGATTTTGTTGTAATACCTCATGCCTCGATTGTATCCTGATCTGTCCCTCCCAGTTCCCTTCATTACAATAGCAAATTATACCTGGTGATACCACCAAGAGAACCAGGAAGGGATTAAAGGCTTGGTCCCTAAAAGTAGATTTCTAGGTCCAGATTTCCAGAGCAGCACTTGAGTCTGGCAGTCAATATTGCTGCAAACTCCCTACCTGAATCCCTGCATATGTGTTCTTCTTTAGTATTTCTTCTTCTGCTCCCAAGGAACAAGGGATGGGACAAGAGGAAACAGCCTCAAGCTGCACCAGGGCAGGTTTAGATGGAGCTGAGGAACAATTCCTTCCCCAGAGGGTGCTCAGGCATTGGAACAGGCTGCCCAGGGCAGGGCTGCAGTCACCATCCCTGCAAGTGTTCACACACCGTGGAGACGAGGCCTCAGTGCCATGGGTTAGTGGTGGCCTTGGCAGTGCTGGGGTAAGGGTTGGACTTGATGAGCTTCAAGGTCTTTTCCAACCCCGCTGATTCTATGACTCTGTGCTGCCATTCAGATTGCCATCGTAACGTGGCTGTGGTCCAGGCCACAGGATCTTTGTGTTATTAGCAAACTGCTTCATGGGAAGAAGTCTTGTGCTTTTCTTCCTTCTCTTTCATCCTTGCTTTTTGGTACTTCTGCTCCACCAATGAGATGGCTCCTAGAAGTACTAAAGCATCAAGAAAAAAATCACATTGCTTTGGCTGGAGTAGCATAACCAATTTGAATGTTAACGAAGCTCCTCAGACTGAATGTCCAGGTGCGTATCATTGCTCACTACACGTCATTTACTAATGAGTGGATCCAGACAAACAAACTGTGGATCCAGCATGCCCTCTGGCTGCCTATAAAACCGAGGAGAGATAATGAAGTGATGTGAATCAGGGCCTTTCTGTAGCAGTGAGGCATGAAAAAACTGGAACATACAACAGCTTCTGCTGTCAGGTACCAAATATTACCCTAACATTGGTTCTATAACCAACCATGGGGGCAAATGGGCTTCACCAACGTTATTAGATGAGCACAGTAATATTGGTCATGTCTCAGGTTTCACATTTTTGGATGTCAAAGGAAGTTTCCATTGTGAAATTCGCATAGATTTGGGTTTTGGATGCGCAAAGGTAAGCGTGGTTCTCCAAAAGGTGCAGCCACTGACCTTTCTTTAATTACAAGCAAATGCAGGGGGTTGATGGATATTGCCATCCTGTTGGGCTCTTCTATTGAGTGAACATTGCTGAGCAGCCTCCCAAAAAACAGTGGTGTCTTTGTGCTGCAGGCTGCAGCTCGCTAGGAACACACCTGATTACACCAAGCTCTTTTTAAGCAGAGCCCTGCACAGTGTCAGAGGAAAATATTTTATTGTATGTGTAGGGAAGAGCAGATGCATAGAAGAAAGGTCAAAGAAGAAGAGAAGCAATTGACCTGCTAAAACAGAGCATCTTTGGGGATTTCTTAGCAGAAAACCTCTTTGTCTTCCAGTCACTGTGATAGTGCAAGCTTCAATCAGGAAGAACTGCAGTGACCTGAAATATATGGTACCCTTTTGTATAAAGTCCTTGCAGCCAGTTCAAAGGCTGTAGTTCTTCTTCAGCCATGTACTGTCATTACAACTGTTTCCTGGACTGTGATTCAGGGCTCAGCCCTGCAAACACTTGGTTTCCCATTTGTATTTATATTTGTATGACTCTCTCTTCCTGAAGCACAGTCCTCAGAGACACAGGCTTGTACAATTGTCCTTACTGACAGAGGGAGTGCTGGAGATGAAGAGCACACGCACACCGCACAGGGGAGCTGGCTGCCCGTGCGTTGGTACAGCCACACAGAGCCCTGCCGTCAGGGGACACGTGTGTCACCCAGGGCAGAACTGCATCAGGGTTGTGTTATGCTGCTTCAGCAGGACAAAATAGCTTGGGTGTAGCATCACACTGGCTTGGTTGTATTGCTGCAACGCTGCTTCTATAGTGACCTCAGGAGATGCTTGCACAGGAATCTCTGAAGCTCTGGGTGGTCTGCAGTATGTGTGTACCTGTGGACACTTGCCCATGCCCTCTAAAGGTGGGACTGGTATTAGCATTTTATTTGAGGTCAACCATGTGCTTCTGAAATGAGTTTCCCAGTGATCCCCACTTAACTGCACATTCATGTCATGGAGGGCATGAGTAGGATTCCTCTGGGATGGCACTGAGCTGGTGGATGTGCTTCAGGACTGCATCTGTAGTGGGACAGCTCGTGCTGGTTGCTACTGCTGCTACACTGCAGCTGGTCTGAAGTAAAGCACGTACAGAATGGAGAGGCACAGTGGGGATGTCAAGTCCTGGGCACCAGTTTTTCTCTCTATGTATCCACTCCTCTTATTTTTCACTGTTTTCTATTATAGATGTGGTCAGAGATGCCTCAAGTCCTATCTCAGTACATTGACCCTTCATCCCCTCCCTGGGCTGGACCATTCAGGCCATTTTCAATATGAAGGTAAGACTTTGGGAAATCAGGTTGACTTTGATAAGACTTTCTGTATGTGCACAGTGATTCCTGTATGTGAATTCCTTGCTGAACGGGGACTAGTGGGTCAGAGCGGGCAGCAGAAAGCCCAGACCTCTTATACAGCTGCAAAGTTATAAGGTATTTAAGGGGCAAAGGGTGAACTTCTTTTTTTCTCCCCTTGTTGTATGGTATCTGATCACATCTCGTGATAGTCCCCTTACCCTTACTTACACTCATATAATTACCAAACACTGCTCTTTCGTGCTGCCTCTGGAGACTGACACTGTTGAAGCATGTAGTTGAAGTCTCCTATTGACCCTCTGGGGGAAAGATAGGAAGAAACACTGAAATTAAACGTAGGTGGGGTAGCAATGATAATTATGTTGGATCATAACTTCCACTGATCTAATTAATGCCACCTAAGTTGTGGCTTGTGCAACTGCCTTGATTTATTGGTTATATTCACAGTTCACAGAATGACGTTTCTGAAGGCCCGTGGCTCTGATACATGGAGCGATAGAAGCTGTATTTCGTGAACATCACATTGTATAGTTACAGGATGTGTAACAGTTTGAATGCTGCCTGCTCTGTGACGCTCTTTAGAGGCACTGTAAGTTGGTGATCCAGGTAGGATTCAATAATGTAGGCTGTACAGCCCAATTAATTTGTTTCCAGCCCAAATCCCTTCATGCTGCTCTTAAACTGATGTTTTCCTGTTGAATCTCGTATAACGAGCTCTAGGTGTTCCCAGCATTAAGTGACAGTAAAAGATGACTCTCACCTAAGCTCCGGTTTATGTATTTGTTTTATTACTCAGGATATGTCTGGATTTTACAGCTGAGTATGTTAGGAATTTAGTTACAAGTTGAAACCGCTTTATAATGCGTGGCTATAAAGATCAAAGGTTGCAAAACCAACATTGGAGAGCCAGGTCCTGCTCTTCCAAGGCTCATCAATCACGACTTAGTTCTGGCCCATCTCACATAATTTTCCACCATGTGCTGTCATTGGGACAAATGTTTACCCATAGCAGTAGACCAGAGACTCCCACAACTCTTAGGCTAAGTGTTGCTGTTCCTTGACAGCACTTCTCTGTTTCTATTTACCTGCTATCTCTTTTTCTGCCTCAGTTTTCTCTCCTTTATCTCACAGTTGATAATTTGAGGTATGTGGTTCCTGCTCATGGCACGCTGGGAGTTCTCCTTCGTTCCAGGAGGACAAAAATCAAGATCAATATAAGATCAAGATCTTCCTTGTTTTCCCCATTGGAACTTGCTGAAGTTTTGCCAGCCCGTGAAGCAGGATTAAGGCAGGAGAAACCAATATAAAGGCTTTATCCAGCGAGTCTGATCATATACTTGTATCAGGTCACTAGTGGAAGAGTTGAGGTGAACAAGACTCTTTCTGCACTGCTGCCATCAGTGTGCTCAGTAGCACTGGGCATTACTTTTGGTTGCCCATCATTGTTTCTCCTTCTGTTGTGAGCCCCTCAAGTAAGGGGCAGTCTTATGAAGAATGGGGGACCCACAAGCCACGGTATTAAGAGGCCTCTTGATGCCTCTGTAGTAGGGAAAATGATGCAGTTCATCATCCCAGCTTTGCCTGGGAAAACTGGAACTCCTGTTACGAGTTTTCTTATGCAAGATTCCTTGGTGGGAGATAAAAGAACAACTGGTAGGCACAGGCAAGTCTGGGGGCCTTTTAGGTGTTCCTAAATGACCTTTTAATTCATTTATTTCAAAAACTAAAGGGAATTTAAAAGTAAAACAACTTTTTGAGTGGAGAAATTCAGACTTTTCTCCAGCAATATCTAAATTAAATATCTAAATAAAAATGAGCATCTGTACAACAGAGCTCACATCAAAATGTAACACCCATTAACTTTAGGTTTAGTTTTGCCTACTTTGGTGACAGAGATTGAGAAAGCCAGCAGCACAAAATGCGTTCTAGTATATTTGAGACCTGACAGTTTTCCCTCCTTCTGTTCCTGAATGAACTGCTTGTGGAACTCCAAGGAGCAGATTGAGTTTCTGGTCAGTTGTCATGTAAGGTACGGGGTTAGAAATGAGAATTAATGTGAACGGCTGCTCGAATAACTCATTTGTTTCCTTTCTGAAATGCCTGTTCCTGTAGATCCAGCTTCCCTTTTCTCCCCCCATGCTGCCCATTGCTTGTCAGGACTGCTGGGAAGAGTAATGATTGATGGAATTTGCTTGGTAGTGTGGCTGTCACCGCTGCGGCTGAAGGGTCAGATGCATCTGTAACAGTGAAAATCCAGATTTCAGAAGCCATCGTTGAGTCCAGGTACTTGTTTTTTTCCACTGTCTGGTCTTTGGATATGTGAAAGAAGCTCTGAGCATTGAGCTTTAATCTTGTCAGATGCCTGAGAAAGGAGTCGCAGGTAGGACTGTTTCCTGTTCTACTTTGTGCCTTTGAGGGGGCAAGAAAGATGCATCAAAAGGGAAAGCAGCAAAAACTGGGAACAGGGAAGCAGGGCTGCATTCTCATCCTGAGGAAGCATTTTTATGCAAACGCATGTAACAGTTACCATAAAGCTCATGTTATGTTGCCTTTGCCTTTTGTAACAGTCCGGGTGTGACAGGATTTCAACTTTTCATGGCATGCCAAAAATGTTTCTTAACATCAAGTTACTTTGCCTAGCGAATCTCATTATGTACATTACTCACAGGGGCTCCATTTTGTCCTGTGCTTTGTCTTATTAATGTACTTACTGCTAGCAGGAGCTGGGGCCAGTGTTGATACCAGCCTTCAGATGTCCAACCCTGAAGAGTCTGCTGGTGGTTTCATGGAGGAGGACAGGCAGCCGGCTCGCTTGAGGCCTGGGAATGACAGGAGCTCCCTATGGGATAGGGTAGAGCTGGAGGTAGAGGTAGGATTTGAGCTGGGGTTGATGCAGAGCTGAGGTGGAAGCTGGGAGAAGCCCCAATGGACCCATAAACTCTGTCTCCAGCTGGAAGGAGCCCTGTGAATTGACACTGGATGGGGCTGGCTTGAATGGGGAACAGGTTTGTGCTGGTCCTAAAGCCAGGGAAAATGAGCCTGGGCCCCAGTGGCAACTCAGAGATGCAGAAAGAGCATGGTGATGCTTTCATAGGCCTGCTCCTTCCTGCTACAGAAATCAAACAATAAATTGATGGATCGGTAGCTGAGTCTTGCTGAAGCTTGGGTGACATGGTTTAGTGTGAGGCATCCCTGCCCATAGCAGGGGGTTGGAACTGGATGATCTTAAGGTCCTTTCCAACCCAAACCATTCTGTGATTCTATAGTTCCTTCCCCAACTGTCTTAATTCAAGAGATCTGATCCAACCTAGGAATACTGATTGTCCTCAGGCATAAGGTCTGGAACTGGTGCTAGGATAAGCTCATGTTTGGCAACAGTGGGCTCCTCTGCCTGGATTTCTGCTGGGATTTGGGTTAGGATTTGGTTGTTTAGCTGATTTCATTGAGGATTAGGTTGTATAGCATCACGTAGGATTTTTAAAGATGCTCATCTAAACATCCTTTACCTTGCAAAAGGGCCAAGTTATTTCTCCCATTGGTCCCTACAACTTTGAAGGAAGCTGTTTTCCTGTCCTCTCAAGGCAGAGCCCCCACGTCCAGGATGCACATCCCCTGTGAGCACACGGGTGCACCTCTCCCTGCCCTCCTGGGCCAGGGTATGGGCAAGATGCAGAGACCTAGAGCCTCGAGTTGATTTAATCTGTACCTGCCTCTGTGACTACGTCTGGCTTCCTCTGACCCAAATTACCTAACTCAGCTGGTATTTCCTTCCTCATATTCCTTCCCTTACATCTACGCATCTCACCTGCTATAGTTTAACTGGCCGCAGCGGGGGAGCTGGGGGAAAGCGTGTGCTAACGCTGCGCCCACCCCTGCCCTTCTCCCCGCCTCGCTTAGAGAGAGACACTGTGTGGATGGAATTTTTAACATCAAAAGTTTCAATTACAGCAGGAAATGTCAGGCCGACAGAGTGCGACTGTTCCAGCTTTCCCATAAGGAATACTCCCACCCTTACTATTTACCCATATGGAAAAAACAACCTCGGATGGTATTTTTTTAAGTTCTCAGGTAAACGGAGCTGAATGGTATCATCACATAAGACGGCAGGCTTGCTGCAGGAGATGAAAAAGTGTAAATCATAGCACAGGGTCCAGAGCCTTTACAGTGCCTTTTTCATGAAAGAAAATCCCGGGATACGGGCTAAGTGGGATGGGGGCTGTTTGAGAGGCAGCTTAACCTTGAGCAAGTTAGCTAAGGGGAAAGAGGAATGGAACAGGATGGAAACACTGACCTCAGAGCAGGAGATGGTGTGGAAAGCAGCATACAGAGTAGCACGTACGCATAATGCAGTGGTCATACTATGACCAGCAGAGCTGTGCACCTCAAAAAGAGCCTGGCTTTGTCATCTTGATACTGTCTCTGAGGTAGCTGAGACAGGAATACGGCCCCTCCATCATCTTCTCTTCTTGAGGCTGGCTGAATCTAATGCTCTCAGCCTCTCCTTGGTGGTCATCATGAGCTCCAGCTCCCCATCATCTTAGAATCATAGACTGGTTTGGGTTGGAAAGGACCTTAAGATCATGTGTTTCCAACCCTTCTGCCATGGGTAGGGATGCTTCACACTAGAAGTTGCTCTTTGTTGATGTAAGATCTTGGTTGCTCTCTCCTTGATTCATCCAGAAAATGCATCCCAACATGTGTTATGGGCAGCATCAAATGTAAGACTTCTGTCATAGCCTCAGACATCTCCAGTGGTCTTGGGTCCTGCTCCCTCATATAGAAGCACTGCTGAGACGGATGATACAGCCACTTAATTCATTGCCACTCCTGCAGGGACTCCATCATTTGCCTTAAGCAGGAACAGGTCATGCTTTTAATGACAGCGTTCAACCTGTGGGATTGTCTTGGACATACTGGTTCCTGAAATCGCAACCGGGGCTTCCAAAAAAGCCCCGAGAACTTCAGTG